GCGCCCACCGGCCCGTGGGGATCGGCGGTGAAGGTCGTGACGCACAAGAACTACACGTTCTACAACCCGCTCGTGCATCCGGAGCTGACGCCCGACGGCTCGCCGATCCTGCTTTTCGAAGGGACGTACACGGCGACCTTCGCCGACAAGCCCGAGCCCACACCGCGGCACGATTACAACCAAGTGATGTACCGGATCGATCTGGACGACCCGGCGTTCAAATGAGCCTTCAGCGCTATAGCGTCCTTCAATTTGCCGTAGCGTCTCGCGCAGAGACGCGGAGGCGCCGAGGGTAGGTAGCGAAGTCTCACGCAAAGCCGCCAAGGCGCTAAGACAAAGATTATCGAAGAAAGATCGCAACCGCCTACGATCGCGCAGGAGTGCGTTCTTTGCGGCACATCGCCTTTGCGTGAGTCGTAAAAAGTACATCCATCTCTGCGCCTCCGCGTCTCTGCGCGAGACATCGCCACGTTTACTTGATGGGTCGGCGTGAGGCGAAAGAACATCACGACGAGGCGAAGCACGCTCTAGCCGCGGGTAGCCCCGCCGAGTTACTCCGCCACGACTTCAAGCCGCTGGTCGTCCTTCAACAGTCGTTCTCGCAGCGCTTCATACGAAACCTCCTGGACTGGTATCACTTCGTCGATCGCCAGTGACGCGGCCGTCGCGGCTGACTGACCGAGGATCAGGAAGACCGGCTCCATGCGGATCGAGCCGAACGCGATGTGCGTCGAGGACAAGGCCCAGGGGACGAGCAGGTTCTCGCACTCGTCGGCGCGCGGCGTGATCGCGCGGTAGGCGATCTTGTAGGGGCCGTCGGTGAGGCGGAGTTGCACGTCCCCCTCGTTGCGGACCACGCCATCGACGACGCAGCGCTGCGTGTTGTGCGAGTCGAGCGTGTACGCGCCCATGCCGATGGGGTCGTCGATCGGCAGCTGGTTGCGGCAGTGTCCCTCGGTCATGACGAAGTCCGACGCCATCCGCCGACCTTCGCGGACATAGATCGCGTACGGCCAGGTGTCGTTGTCCTGGTACTCGTCCGCCGCTAGGCCCCACGGGGCGACACGCCGGCGAATCTCGGCGGGGACGCGCGGGTGATTCTGGAGCGTCCACAACAAGCCAAGCTGCCATTTCTTGTGCGCCGCGGCGACGCGCTCGCGTCCGGCGTGGTCGAGCGTCACCCAGCTCCACACCGTCTTGCCGTCCTCGTCGAGCTGGTAATTGCCGCCGATGAAGTCCATCGACACGCCGCCGTTGTTGTTGGTGTCGGTCTTGCGATTGGGCATCAGGCTGGTAGTGAAGAACGGCCAGCGGTGGCCCGCCTCGATTGCGCGGAACAGCAGCTCGTAGTCCGCTTCGCGGTAGCCCTCGGGCTTGGCGATCGTGATCCGGTTGGCGGGGACGTCGGTGAGCGTCAGGCGGTAGCAGTACGATTGCAGCCGCTCATCGGCCGAACCGAGCGGCCCGCCGATCGTGGCGTTCACGCTCGGCAAGAGGCCGCTCGACGCGTCGCCGACGACGACGTAGAGGTCGACGCCGTCGGGCATCTGGTGTGTGCGCCGCGGGCCGGTGTTGCCGTTGCCCGTCTCGTTGAACTCGGCGTTGGCCTCGCGGCCAACGCGGAACGAGACGCCCGCCGCCGGCAGCAGGTCGCCCTCGTAAGAAGCGTCGATGAAGACGTCGCCCTCGATGAGCCCCCCACCTTCAAGCCGTAACGCCGTGAGGCGCCGACCGTCTTTGACCGCCCCGTCCGCCAAGTCGATGCGGCCGCGGATAACCTGAACATCAGCGTCCTTCAAAAGGTCATCGAAGACGGCTTCGGCGATGTGCGGCTCGAAGGTCATCGCCAACTGCGTCTTGTCATCGAGAGCCGGCGCCCCTTGGCCCACGTTCTTGAAGTCGGAGCGCGCTTCCCACTCCCAAGCGGCCTCGTCTTGGTAGTGTAGGTAAACGCGGTGGTAGAACTCCCGCGCGACGCCGCCGAGGATCGCCGAGCGACCGATGTCGGTCCAGCCGAGCCCGCTGCTGGTCATGCCGCCGAGATGGCCGACGGGCGAGACGAGCACCGTCTCCTTCCCCATCCGCGCGGCCTGCACCGCCGCGGCGACGCCGCCGGACGTATCGCCGTAAACGACGACCTGGGCGCTAATGGCCTTAGCGGCAAGTGTCGTCTCCTCGGCAAAGGCGACAGAGACGACGCTAGCGAAAGCAAACAGCAGAGCGAGTGNNGCGGCGACATGACCCAAGAGCTGGTCCGTGCGACGATGGCATGCTTCAGAAAAGCGGCTCGCAGCTCCCGGCGGCGTGGGTTGATCTGAGCCGGCGCCAGGCGTGGTCGTAGACATGCGTTTAGAGGCTCATAGGGGGCCCTTAGGCGCGTCCTGACGCTGGCTTCAGGGTTTTTCCAGGCCTCCGATTTAAACGCCTCAAACGGCCTCCTAGGGGCCTTCACGAGGCTTCCCCCGGCAGTGGGGGGAGCCGTGCGGTGCTGACATCAAAAAGTAGGGTGGCTGCCTTAAGAGCGGACGACGCCTCAGTGTAGCGGCTCGCTTGAGAAAACTTCTTAGCCGAGGGCGGCAGCCCTCGGAGATCAGCGTGACTCGCATTCCACTCCGAGGGTTGCCCAGGATTATGCAATGGCTAGCGGTGTGAAGTGGGTTTAGG